CTACTTGGGAGGCTGAGGCAGGAGACTCGCTTGAGCCCAGGAGTTGGAGGTTGCTGTGAGCTGTGATGCCATGGCCCTCTACCCAGGGGGACAGCTTGAGGCTCTGTGTCAAAAAAAAAAATAGGGAATTAGTTAAGTATGGTCATCTACTGAATATAAACCATAAAAATCAATTTGTAGAAGGATTTACAATGTCTTTGGTAAATGCTACTGATATGACATTAAATAAAATATCGTAAAACAATATCCAAACAATAACTAGTATACTGGAAGTAAAAATAAGTATTTATTATACATAGAAAAAAGATTTGGAGACACTACACAAGAATTTAATACAGGTTATCTATGGTAGTAGGATTAGGGATACAACTCAAAGAAAGAAATAATAATGAGCAGAAAGAAAAGAAATAGAAGATAAAACAGTTGAGAAGATCAAAAGAGGCAACATTGGTTCTTTGAAAATATTAATGAAATTAAGAAACCTCTACAAAGGCTGATTAAGAAAATACAGAAGACACAATTTACTAGTAGAGATCAGTAGATAACCTAGAGATATTAAAAAGGTTATATGAGTATATTATGAACAATTTCATACCAGTGCATTTGACAAATTCCTTGGAAAACACAATTGACCAAAAGTGACACAATAAAAAAATAAAAATGTAAACACTCATATATCTATTAAAGAATTGAAAATTCACCCCTGCCCCCAAACACACGCACATACCCACACACACATTATCTGATGACTTTGCTTGTAAATTATCTAAGCATTGTTTGAAGAAAGAAGTTTAATTTCATTAAAATACAAATTACAGAAAATAATGGTACTTCCTAACTCATTTCAAATCTAGCATAACTATGACACGAAAATCTGACAAGAATCTTAACAATCTGGCCAGGCACAGTGGTTCATGCCTGTAATCCTAGCACTTTGGAAGGCCAAGGCAGGTGGATTGCTTGAGTTCAGGAGGTGAAGACCAGCCTGGACATGAGCCAGACCCTGTCTCTAAAACTAGCTGGGCATTGTGGTGGGAAGCTGTAGTCTCAGCTGTTCAGAAGGCTGAGGCAAAAGAATCACTCGATCCAAAGAATCTGAGGTTGCTGTGAGCTATGATGCTATGGCACTCTACCCAGGGTGACAAAGTGAGAGTCTGTCTCAAATAAAATAAAATAAAATGGTAAACCTAAGACAAGACAAAAAAAAGAATCTTAAAATCAATCTCTCTCAAATCCTAAACAAAATATTAAGCACATCAAATATGGTTCTGTATAAAAAGGAGACTAAATCAAAACCAAACAAGATCTAGTTCAGCAACACAAGAAAGCTTACTACCTGAAAGGCAACAGATTCACAACATTAAAAGAAAAATAGAGAAAAATCATGATCATCTCAACAGATATACAAAAAGCATTTAATAACATTTAAAACCATTAAAGATGAAAATTCTGAGCAAACTTGGAATAGAAGGGAGCTTCTTTAATGTGATGAATAACTACCAAGACCCTACAGCCAACACTATTCTTTACAGTGCAATATTAAAAGCTTTCCCTTTAAGACTGAGAAATAAACAAGGATGTGTGCTATAACCACTTCTATTGGGATACAGGCAGTTCCTGAGTTACAAGCATCTGACTGACATATGACTTGCATTTATGAATGGAAGCTATTATAGGTAATAGGTGAATATATCTGTTCCAACTTACATACAAATTCAGTTTAAGAACAAACCTATACGCTCAGTGCCTATAGCACAGTGGTTATGGCCACATACACTGAAGCTGGCAGGTTCAAACTCAGCCTAGGCCAGCTAAGCAACAATGACAACTGCAACAACAACAAAAAATAGCCAGCCATTGTGGCTGGCACCTGTAGTCTCAGCTACTTGGAAGGACGAGGCAAGAGACTCGCTTAAGCCCAAGAGTTGGAGGTTGCTGTGTGCTGTGACACCATGGCACCCAACCAAGGGTGACACAGTGAGACTCTGCCTCAAAAAAAAAAAAAAAACCTACAGAACCTATCTCATTTGTAACCTGGGAATTGCCCATACTGGGAAGGTGTCTCTTCTCCACAAATTGACACATAAGTTTAACACAGAGGTAAATAAGTAGTCCAATGGAAAAGAAGAAAGAGTTTCAAAATAGACCTATACACATTACTTATGATGAAAGTGATGCTGAAGCATAATAGGAACAGGATGGTTATTTTGATAAATGATGTCGGATCAATTGATATCCATATGGAAAAACTGGACTCTTGACCTCTTACTTTACAATATATACAAAACCCAATTCTAGATGGGTTCTAGGTCCAAATGTGAAAAATAAAAAAAGTAAAATTTTAGAAGAAAACATAGGAGGAAAAAAAAATAGGAGAGAGGATCATCTTGACCTTGTGGTAAGCAAAACAATTTTATTTTTATTTTTTAAATGGAAGATAATTTAAAAAAATAGATCATGGGTGCATGCCAAATCTTATAGATAATAGAAAAAGAAAAAATACTTCAAAATCATTCTACTTCATCTGGATATACTTGATATTAAAATTGGAAAAATATATTATTATGAAGGGAAATTACAAATATATTTCACTTATAAATGAGCATGCAATATCCAAAACAAGATATTAACAAGTTGAATGAAAAATTATTGTTCAAATAATATACTTTGGTCAAAATTAAATCCAATTTATGTGAGAATTAGTCACTATTTTCTTTTCCTTTCCCTCACCCCCTCCATCCTTCTCTCTTTATTTTTATTTTTTTGAGACAGAGCCTCAAGCTGTCACCCTGGGTAGAGTGCCACGGCATCACAGCTCACAGCAACCTCCAACTCCTGGGCTTAAGTGATTCTCTTGCTTTAGCCTCCCAAGTAGCTGGGACTACAGGTGCCCACCACAATGCCCAGCTATTTTTTGGCTGTAGTTGTCAATGATGTTTGGCAGGCCCGGGCTTAATTTGAACCCCTAGGTCTGATGTATGTGGCTGGCACCTTAGCCGCTTGAGCTACAGGCACTGAGCAAAAAAAAATTTTAAATAGGATGACTCGGCACCTATAGCTCAGTTGCTAGGGCACTAGCCACATACACAGGTTCGAACCCGGCCCAGGCCTGCCAAACAACAATGACAACTACAACCAAAAAAATAGCTGAGAGTGGGTGGCACCTATGGTTCAGTGAGTAGGGTGCTGGCTCCATATACAGAGGGTGGGGATGGGGGTTCAAACCTGGCCCTGGCCAAACTGTAACAAAAAATAGCTGGGCGTTGTGATGAGCACCTATAGTCCCAGCTACTTGGGAGGCTAAGGCAAAAGAATAGCCTAAGCACAGGAGCTGGAGGTTGCTGTGAGCTGTGATGCCACAAAGGCAACAAAGTAAGACTCTGCCTCTAAAAAAAAAAAGCTGAGTGTTGTGGTGGGCACCTGTAGTCCCAGCTACTTCAGAGGCTGAGGCAAGAGAATTGCTTTAGCCCAAGAATTTGAGGTTGCTGTGAGCTGTGACACCATAGTACTCAACAGCACTCTACCAAGGGCGACATAGTAAGACTCTGTCTTAAAAAGAAACAAAAAATTTTAAATAGGGAGCGGCACCTGTGGCTCTGTGAGTAGGGCACCAGCCCCATATATGGAGGGTGGTGAGTTCGAACCAGGCCCGGCCAAACTGCAACAAAAAAATAGCCAGGCGTTGTGGCGGGCGCCTGTAGTTCCAGCTACTTGGGAGGCTGAGGAAAGAGAATCGCCTAAGGCCAGAAGTTGGCGGTTGCTGTAAACTGTGTGATACCACGGCACTCTACCATAGGTAATAAAGTGAGACTCTGTCTCCAAAAAAAAAAAAGTTTACTTTCATTAGTCATCAGAGAAATACAAATTAAAATCACAATGTGCTTACCAACACCAGAATGTCCAAAATGAAAAAAAAAAAAAAAGACATACTATTCTAAGGATTGGTGGGAATTTTCTTTACACTTCTTCCATACTTAATTGCCAAGGCCCTGTCCCATCTATTCCTCTATCAGTTTATGAGCTGGGTGTGAACTGGGAATGTATCATTTCTCATTATACCACCTCCATTTTCTAGTACAATTTATACATGATAGACCCTTAGTAAATTTTGAATAGTGTTAAAAAGACTATCTTTTCTTTTTTAATTTACTTTGGCACTATAAATCACTAGGATTCGTGGTTATTATTTTTTAAAATATCTTCCAATTTGCTTGGTGAAAACTAGTATCTTATACATATTTTAATTTTTCTTTTCTTTTCTTTTTTTTTTTTAAATAGTTTTTGGCTAGTGCTGGGTTTGAACCAGCCACCTCTGGCATATGGGGCCAGTGCCTTACTCCTTTGAGCCACAGGCGCCACCCAATTTGTATTTTCTTAATGACATGTAAGATTGGATATTTTTTCATAAGTTCAATGCTGATTTGTAGTTTTTCTACTGTGAATGGTCTCTTCGTTCCCTTTGCCCATTGTTCTCTTGGAGTTGTATTGATTCTTTGGTATCGGGAGAATAAGATTACCCTTTTCTTTCATATCTGACCACTGTAGCAAAGGATCACTGTCTTCTGCCTCAACAAAAGGGGAATGAGTGTCTATATTTTAGTTCAGAGAGCACCAGTAAGGGTATGATGAAAACCTAAGTCAAGCAGCTACAC